GAGAGAGAGAAATTGTCAGTGAGAGTTTTCATGAATCTCTTAAATTGCTGCAGAACAAGTGAGTCAAATCTTCTCAATATAAAAAAATATGTTTTCTTATATAGTACAATTACAGGCTGGCCTATGCTGGTTCTCTGGATCCTGTCGCGGGGAGCGTGTGGCCGCGCAGAGGGGAAACAGGAGGTGTGTTAGTGTGAGGTCCGTTTGTGGAGGACACCCCTCCCCCCGCTGTCTCCCCCTGATCCCCAGAGGTGATGGAGGAGTCCTGGTCTGGTTCGGACCCCCTGGCCCTCCTCCGGTCCTCCTCTTTCTTCCATTTCATGCGCCGGTTCTGGAACCAGATCTTAATGTGGCGCTCGGTGAGACTGAGGGTAAGGGCCAGCTCCACGCGCCGGGGCCTGGAGATGTAGCGGTTGAAGAGGAACTCCTTCTCCAGCTCCAGCAGCTGGGCGCGCGTGTACGCGGTGCGCGTGCGCTTGTTCTCCTCTGCCTCGGTCATCACGTAGGACCCTGGAAAACAAAAACAGTCTTAAAAGTATAGAATTGTTTTATTTATTCCTTAAAATAATTTATGAGAGCGTAATAAATTATTATAAATGAACATATAAGTTGGTGACGCAGCATAAAGAAACGTTCAATTAATTAGTAAAAAAAAAAAAATGGTAGGTTTACCGTAATCAAAAATAAAATCTTAATTATTCAAAAATAAAAAAAAACGAAAAATAACAAAGGTGACTTTTTGAAAATTCAGCTTCAGTGCAATTTTATTCCAGCTAAACAGTTTGACTGTTTTTATGTTTAAGCGACCGTTTTTCCCGCTTGCTGCCTTTAACTGTATAATTAAATTGCATTTTATCCGTCTTTTGACTCGTTTACAACATCAATACAAAGACTGATTGTAATAAAATGATGTTTCTTAATTAAGAATTATCTTTTTATTATAGACCTCAGACTCTGCTGGAGTTCACCTTATAATGCAATCCACCAAATGGCTCAAACCTGCATTTAATTTTATCATTGTGGATCCATAGACAACATAGAGTCGTTAAAATACACTTTATGAAAGTCAAAGGTTAAATTTATAGCTTATACCCTCTTCATTTAGTATAAAGGTGTCTCCTCTGTTGAATTGGGTGGTCCAACCCTATTTTTCCTCTTTAAATATGCTCTATTCACCTCTCAACACTCAAATCTAATTTGTCTAAGTTCCTAAAATAGTCTTATACATGCGGAAATTTCCCAACAAATCCTCAAATACTAACTTATGTTATATTCGGCAAACTTAATAGTCCAACCTAAATGTTAGATAACAGAATTGTTGGCCTGTGCGTTTAAAAAAAGGGCATTTCAACTCTCTCACTATAACTGGGTTATATATTGTGCGCTCTATATATAAAGATTATAGGCCATAAAGTGTAGCCTTGACCTTCTATTTTAAGTAGACTAATCACGCTAAATTAGTGATTAATGACCATATTTTAGGCATCAGAAATTCACACTTATTGGCCAATTCCAGTCTTGTGGATCCTTAAAGGATCAATTTATTTTCTCTTAGGGATTTTTCTGTTAGTTTTGGTCTTGTTTTACCTGTCCACTGGCCCTTCCAGGTATGGGAGTGGGATTTGGTTGTCTTCATCCAGGGAAAAGGGAGGTGATATCTGTTCTGCTCTCCTGCTTCCATATAACCTGGAGGCTGGAGCGCAGGCTGCTGCTGCTGCTGCTGCTGGAGCCCCTGCGGGTGGTGGAGCGGTGGCCCGCCCGGATCCTCCCGCATACCGGGCATGGTAAAAACGGCCGGAGAGATGTCGGGAAGGATGGCCTGCTCCAGGGTGCCCAGAGACGGCGGCGTGTAGACGGAGTGCACCTGCCTGCTCATGTAGAGGCAGGGCGGCGGGTTGTAGTCATCACCCGGGGATCTCTGGTAAGAGCAGGACTCTTTAAACACCTGAGAGGGATAAAAAGGGTCTTCCCGGTTCATGGTTGAGAAAGGAGCCGAGGCTGCGTCCCTATACGATCCTGCCTCGGCTTGGACCTTCAGCTCTAAGCACCTGTGGCGCAACTACAAGGCCCCAGCGGGCTCTGCACAGGTGTGTCACTCTGACACCATGTGACCATGTGGCGCACCAAGTCACTGGTTTCACTGTTTGCACAAAACGGGAGAGCTGCAGCGGGCAGTTTCCAGGAGATTCTGAACAGAGCGCGTAAATCAGTGCCGCTCTGCAAATACAACAAGGTTTACCTGCATCCCCTTGTTTATTTCCACAGACAGGACGACATGTGAATCAATGGCATCTAATCAGGTAAAATGGTCAGATCAGAAAAACAAACTAGTGTGTAATTTGAGGAGAGAAATGTCTCCTAAACACCTGCTTTGATTTTTCTATTAACACATATTCAGTAATACAGTCATTTACTGGAAAATTAAATCCAACTCATGCATATGTATCCAAAGTCTTGATCTTTTTTTACTCAGGACTCTGGAACAAAAACTAATTAATTAACATTAAATGTTGAAGCTCATTCCTCCTGCTGAGCAAGTTCTGATACCTGCTGAACCCTTGGAGATCCCCTTAGGGGATACTACTAGCATTTGATTGACTTTCTGAAACTTTCTTCACAGCAAACTGACTTCTACACCTGAACTTGTTCATGAAATGATACATAATTTAATTGGGTCAACCCTTACAAGCAGGAATGCAGTTTCCTCTGAAACTCTTTCAGAATAATTTAGAAAAATAAAGTTATATCAGTTGTTGTATTCTGGAAAAACTGAAGCAAAGGATAATGTCAAAATAATAAGTTATTGTGTTGCATGCTTGAAAGCACCATGAAAATGCAGTTTATAGGATTTCAATTTTATATTAATATATCCCAATTGTAAAACTGAACCTGTAAGATAATATGCTAAATGCATTTAACTGAAAGGTTATTTTAAAGATTTCACTTTAAAAAGGAAATAATAGGTTATAACGGTACCAGAGAGATGGTTTAAGTGTTTATTCAAATGTTTGCTTAGAGTTAATGAAAACCTATTCAGTATCTGATTATGAAGAATATTACAATCTTATAAGCATCTGGATTTAAGAAACAATAATATTAGAAAGTAGATTAATCTGAATCAGCTTTTACTTAAGTGTTTTGCCATCTGCTAAAATATATGTCCACTTTAGCAGGGCAGAATTGAGGTGATCAGCCTTTTTCTGACTGTGCTACTAAAACATAAGTTACAATTACAATACAATACAATACAATACACGCATTATCTTGGGTCTTTCATTTTCATTGTAATGTATACATTCTCATTTAGCTTAGATTTGCTGGTAAATCAGTGATAGGTGTGGTACCTTTACACAAGCCCTGCAGCATCTCTGTGAAGCTCGTCAGCAAACAGATGCACGATATAGTTAAAACTTCTGCACTGAGTTTAGATCGGAGATGAAACAGCTTCCCAAATCATTCTGTTCAGCAGCGGCTTTACCACAAAGAATACAACAACTGTTAGCCTTTTTCAGAATACAGCTGTATGTGTTGTTTTTTTTTTCTTTCCACCAGTAGGATAAAGCATATGTGACAAGTCTGCTTCTTCACTAAGTTTTCTTGTAGCAGTACTGATGTTTCAGGCCATCAAATAACATAATGTAATTAAAAATAATCATATTGGCCCCATGTAGCCTAATACTGACTTTTTTTGGCATTTGGTTTGTCATTTGGTATAATAATTCCTCATCATATTCCAAAGTAAAAGAAAATAAATGCTTCAAATATTTCACCCTAAATCTGAGTGTCAATTGTGGAACTATACTGACATAAATTAGCCTTTTAATTATTTAATAAGCCTGCAGTGTGAGCCTAATAGACAGGGATGGAGCTAGATGGGGGGCCAGGGGTGGCCATGGCCACCCTTACCCAATCATTGGCCACCCCAACCATTTTTTCCCCCATAATACTGACAGTGGCAGCAGTAATACTCTCAATATTCAAAAAAATTTAATTTTTCATAGATTAACAATTACTTGACAACAAAAACACTCTTTAATTATACACATAAATATACTAACAATAAAGATAAGTACAGAATTCTTGCTCTTTTCAGAACTAGATTTTGTGTTATATGGGATAAAGAGAAAATGCAAGTCAGTCTTCAGTTAAATCATAGATAAATAACTACCGTATTCTAATAGAAATTACTAAATAAATAATTTTCGTAGATATTAGAACTTGTAAATATCAATTTTATGCAGAATGATTATTGGTATAAGTAGGTAAGTAATGACAATGGAAAAGATGTTTGGCCCAGAACTCAAACCTGAAAGAACTTTATTCACTATACCTTTTATCTAGATGGATGTTTAAATATATGCGTCTATTTGTTAGCAAAGGCTGTAGAAAAGTATAGTTTGTCTTTATTTGGAAAATATGGTTGTTCATTTTCCTGTTGGATCAGTATAGATTGACCCTAAGGTTCTGGTGCCGATCCGCTTTCCGCTACCCCTCAGTGTTCATCGGTTATTGCCTGGCCACCCTTATAAAAATGTTCTGGCTACGCCTCTGCTGATATATCGATGTACGGCTGCAAACATTGCTTGACCTGCTAGATAAAGTGACCTGGTAAAGCAGCTGCTGTTGTCTTGGAAACTCACACAAGAGGGCTCACACACCATGATACCAGATTTTTTGCCACCCCTTGCCTTGCGTTCAGCTTGCATCCATTTACACTTTCCTAGATGCATCATTTAACACCATTTTCACTCCGCAGCTCCACACCGACAAGGGCCCTTCGTGACAACAAACAGAGCCACCACACTCTCGCCGTTGTTTGCTGGCCATTAGCCTCTTGCGGCCCTGTGTGTGTCCGCCCCATTAAACATCAGCTCTTGCAGTAAGCCAATTAAGCTGGAGAGACTAGAGCGGCTGAACTCAATTAACTGCATGGGGGCCTGCAGCGTATCTCCACATCCTGTTGGACCATCAACCCCGCTATGTTGCTAAAATCTAAAGAACGCGTTCATTTGCCAGAGTGTGTGCCATCAACAGTCTATTTGCACTTAGATATTCAAATGCAATTATAGCACTTTCCACTGTATCTTAATGGGGGCACTCTGCGATGCAATAAAGTTCAAGTAAACCAGTTCTATACACAACACCTGCCTGCAATATGACTTAATGGTATTTATATTTGATCATTGTTGCAAAGAGGAAGGAAACTGTTAACTCGGACTGTTCTCCACAATGTGGTTTATGAAGCATGATGTGCCTTAAACGCGTTTTAGATAACTTGACCGGCAGTTTAAGGAGCGCAACAGGAGGGTGGGTGAGACTTAAGAGAGCTGTAACAGATGAGTAGGGTAATTGTGATGGCAGAGAGTGGTGGCTTCTCATGTCTGTAAAGCTGTGGGAACAATAAAAAAGATAAATGGAAAATTACAAACAGAAGGCCTATATGAAGATCTTGAGTGATTGTCCTAGAGTTAAGGAAAACTCCCTTATTTTAGGGTTGGAGCTCTTAGATTTAATTCTACACTGGAAAAATAAAAATCTAGATAAGTCATTTTATTTCTTAGAACAAGTGCATTTGTTCTCGAATTGAGGAGATAAAAGAGACATTTTTCCAATGGAACAAGACGATTTACATTTAAATTAAGAAAAAAACAATTTCAGTGTCCTTTTTAAGTGCATATTATCTAATTATCATATTTTAAGAGAAAAATTCTCATTACATTGGCAAAGCATCTCATTTGCCTACTCAAATTAAGGTTAAATTCACTTAATTAAAGAAATTGTTACTTATTTCTGAATTATTTCTGTTTTTCCAGTGAGAGATCTGAAGAAACTGCAAGAACTACTGTATCACCCCTTCCCCATCGTTATAAAAGTTATATAGCTAACAATCTGAATGAGAATAACATATTTTACAAAACATAAATAGTTTTCCACCAATTTCTCGGGAAACAATATTGTTTATAGAATCAATGTTTGCTATTCTGATTCGTTTTGTCTACAGAAGGTTGGATGAAAAAGTGGGTTTTGCTTAAAGGGAAAAAAAGACTATAGTTTTTTAAACTGTTTATCTTTGGTAACTTGAGTTACATTTTATCATGTCAAAAAGTTGCAGATGTAATTTACTGAACCCATACATGTGAAGTGTATATGTGTGCATAGAGAATATTTTTTGGGGTAGTCAAATTAAGTTACATTTATTTTATTTGCTGAATGCCATGAGAGACATATTTTATTTCTTTATATTCATTCATTCAGATTTATGCCATGTTCTCCTCAAAATTTGCAGCATAGCCTTTAACATTTCAGGTTTTTCCATGAGAATCTCAGCATCTTTTGTCCAAAAACCTTTCAATCTAAGATCAGAGGTTTGCCATGGCCAATCTAACATATTTAATCTATTTTCCCTAAGCCTCTTTCTCTTCCTACAAGCTTATGACCACATAGAGCTCAATGTTTATCTTCCGCACTTATTTATAACAGAGTTCTTACTCTGTTATTTCAACAGGATGCTTTTTTATTATTAGACGATTTATTTTGTACAGTGCAACAGATCCTCCTTTTGTAAAAAACGCTGCGTGATGCTACCACTCACACAGTTTGGATGATCTATTTTAGGTTTTTAAAGCTTCCCTCTTTTTCCTCCTTATGAAATATTTGTGGTTATTGGAAAACACTTCAGGTTAACTTTTTATTTCTCTCCCCAAAAACGGACTTTATCCCACGGGTGGACATTAAATCAATATCAATATATATCACATAAGTGTAATTTTATTTAATAACTGTAACATAACATTTACAATATTTGAGTACAGATTAAAGTCTATGATTATAGAATTCACCAATGACTAATGTTTTGGATCTTTATGTAGTTTTATGAGTTTTGTTTTTTGAAGTCAACATTTCTAAAATGTTTTATTAGATAAGTGATAGAAACTTTGCAAAAAATAATAGTTATAAATCTGTGTAGGGTTCTGTTGTGTGCATTCTTATTGGCCATATTTTCCAGCCTTACTTTATCCACAAAGCTATCTAGA